TATGTCTGAAATTCCCAATGAACTTATGTGAAACCCTTAGACCAAGTATCTAAGGTTTGGTCTTAAATTTGTGTATATGAACTTTGACCGAAATTAGTGTAACAATTCCAAATTTTGGGCAGGATCAAATATCTTTGTGCACTATTTAATAATGTATTTTAAAGATATATAAGTGTCCAACTGAACAAGTTACTATTTATTATGATGCAATATTTATGATGTCACGCCCCGAGCCTACACCCTGGACGTGGCCGGCACTCGAAGACCATTTATGGTCCCCAAGCGAACCCTCATCCTGGCTGACTCCAAGCGGAATACTAACTTAAGCATACAAGAGCTTAAAACTGAATAAGAGTTTATAAACTCAACTTTATAAATCTTTAACTCAAAAGAAAACTCTGTATAATAGAATATATATACAACTCGCCATAAAAGGCAACTTTAGTCTTCAAAACATTTAACAAAATAAATGAAGAGACTTCTGAAACTCTATTGTCTATCTATGAAGCCTCTAACTGATAAACATGGAAGCCGGGACAAGACCCACGACCTCCTAACAACTGATACAACTGAAAGGTAAATGAAATCCTCCGGAAGCAAAGAGGCTTGTCATAGCTAACTGGAACTCCCGGATGTATCAACGAATCTCCTGTTGATGATCCTGAATACCTGTGTCTGCATCATAAAAAGATGCAGGCCAAATGGCTCAGTACGTGGAATGTACGAGTATGTAAGCTAGAAAGCTAAACAACATAGGCTAGAAGAAAAACTGGAATAAATTGAATAACTTACCTCTTTTCAAACTTTCTCAACTCAAGGAATACCCAAAACTACTCAAACTTACTCAACTCAGAAGATAGATACTGGACTCAGAGACAGATACTCAACTCAAAGATAGATACTCAACTCAAAGATAGATACTCAACTCAAGATAGATACTCAACTCAAGGATATATACTTAACTCAAGATATATACTTAACTCAAAGATACTTAACTCAAGGATACTCGACTCTTGAATAACTGAACTCAACCTGACTGACTTCTTTCAATATAAGGCAATTTAAAACAAGTGCGATATAAAGAAAGACTGTTTAAAACATGCTATAAACTCTGAGTGTATACAAGGATACAATAAGCCTGAGATGTATATAGAAATACAATTGAACTGATGTATATAAAATACAATAATTTCTGTGTATGAAAATACAATAACTGCTGTGGGAGTTTCTCTAACCGACAACCATCACATAAGAGCTATAGTGATGATACAGCGATCGACCTCACGCTGCCAGAACATCTTATACCCGGCCAAAAGTATAAGACCTGAACTGCCTAATGGATCCACTAGTCTAATCTGAAAAGGATTCATCTAAAAAGTATGATCATTTTCTACCCATGGTGGCTAACATGGTTCTATGGGGGCTGTGGGTTCTTTGAACGCTCCCCCAATTCGGTGCTCGATACTACTCCCAAAAATGTACTGGCTCTTATGTTTTTAAAACATATTTATTCCTGCTGATATGAGATAATTACTCAAAAACTAGCCCGAAGGCTCTTTTGGAAATCTCAGTTTCCAACCTTGTTTAAATGTAAAAACATTTCTTTAAAACTTCTTTGGGAATACATAGTTCCCTAATAACTTTGAGAAATGAACTCAACTCTTTACTCTTTACTTTACTTGAAACTCGATACTTTGACTCAACTTGAAACTCTTTACTTGGAACTCTTCATTCTTTACTTAACTTGAGCCTTAAAATGAAGTTAAAACGATCAATGAAGACTCTTGGAAAACCTTAAAGACTTGTTTTGACTTACTTACTTCTAAGCTTGACTTCACTTGACTTGGAAACTAACTTCACTTGACTTTGAAACTAACTTCACTTGACTTGGAAACTAACTTCATTTGACTTTGAAACTAACTTCACTTGACTTGGAAACTAACTTCATTTGACTTTGAAACTAACTTCACTTGACTTGGAAACTAACTTCACTTGATTTGGAAACTAACTTCACTTGACTTTGAAACTAACTTCACTTGACTTGGAAACTAACTTCACTTGACTTGTAGTTTTACTTGACTTTTGGAAGTACCTTGGAGTGTTGGAAACAACTAGGAAACATAGGTATAATACCTAGGAACATGTATAAAAAAAGAAATGGTGAATGAAAGGGAAGGATTGGTGTCCTTGGCACTAGGAGAGGTGCAACAGCCCAGCCCCTTTTTCCCCAAAAATCCGACTTTTTCCCCTTGTTTCTTTCCAATTCTAAACCCTCTCAACCTCAAGGTTTCAGCAGCAACACTTAGAATCATAAAGACCCTTATTATACAATAGATTCAACTCAAAAATCACAGCCAGAAATCTGTACTAAATCAGCAAGAACTTCAACACAACACCACTACAACTTCAACAACCAATAAATCTTCTCTTGGAATTAAAAACGAGTTGGTGTGTGGGGGTATGAACCAACCAACACTAAGGATCATAAAATCCCTCAATATACAATAGGTCACAACTCAAATACACAGCCCAATCCTGTCCCACAACCAACAATAACTTCAACAACACAACTAACAACATCAACAACAACTAACAACTTCAACAACAAATCCAATCTCTTCTCAAATCATAAAAACGAGCTTGGTATGTGGGGGGAAAGGATAAACCCACACTAAAGACTCACATACCTGATTAGGGATCACCCCCGACAAAAATCCACGACGATCCTTAGCTTCTTCTTCTCTTTCTCCTCTTCTTTTCCTGTTCTCTCTCTTATCTTCCAAGCCCTAACTCTCACTCTTACTCTCACTCTTTAAAATGGGACAAAAATGATCCAAACATCAGTCTAACACCTCAATATAACCCAAAGAAAAGATTAGGGAAAAGACCAAAATACCCTTAAAATTTTCGGACTAAACAAACTGCACTGTGCGACTGTGCGACTGTGCGACTGTGCCAACAACCCAACTTCCAAAGGGCATAAGTCACTCATACGAACTCGGAATCAAGCAAACTCGGCGGCGTTGGAAAGATCATTCCAAGGGCTTTCCAGACATAACTGGAAATTCGCCTAAATCATTTTGAGCTAGGAGATACGACTGCTCAAAGTTGACCAAAAACTCACCTTTTTTCCATAGCCAAATTTTCCAGATTCTTTCCAAAATGACTATTTCCAATTCAACTCTTCTTGGAACTCAATGTGCTACACCTAGGGACCTTAACTTAACACTCAAGAAATTTTTTATTCCTCGGTAAAATCCCACTCCACATGAAGGATGGCTCGAGTCTTTGTTCGAAAATTCTCTGGGGTGTTACATATGATGTCCACGTGAACACTTATATATCTTTAAAAATACATTATTAAATAATTCAGGGGTAATAGGTCCTGCCCAAAGTTTGGGATTGCTACAACAATTTCGATCAAAGTTCGGATATATTTCAAGCCATTTTCCCTTTATTAAAATATACAAACTTATTTTTTTGGTGTATGAATTTTGTATATTTTTCACCCCATGAACTTCAAGCAATCTAACTTGGGAGTGTATTAGTTATACATCCTCTAATACTCAGTATGCAATGCTAGTTAATTATACATAACCTCAAAATTTGTACCAAACAAAGTACTAAATAATACCACATCTGGGTTGTTTGATAGCTAGTTACAATTATTAGTAATGTAGAGATTAATCATGAGTTAATCAATTTATTATTCTATGCAAATATTAGTAAGTGATGTATTAGTTATACACATTAATTATTTCACATTCTATCCTGAATAAAACAATACATAAATTCCATCATAACTTATACATGTACTAGTTATGTAGTTTACTAAATTGTCAACCAAACGTCGTATTTATTTCATACATAAATAACATATTTGTTATCTACCTACAAAACATCATATAAATTAGGCATAATACATAAACATGACCATTAAATTGGCGTCAGCCGGTAACTATGACCTTTAACTTTGGATGTGCACAAGTAGACACTTAAACTTGTATAAGATTGAACAAATAGACACATCTATCCTACATGACACCTTACATGGAAATTTTGTGTCCTACATGGCATCCTACATATATTATGTCATGTAAGACACGTGTGTCTACTTATTCAATTTTATACAAGTTTAAGTGTCTACTTGTGCATACTCAAAGTTGGAGGACATAGTTATCCGCTGAAATCAAGTTAAAAATCATGTTTATGTATTATGCCTATAAATTATACGAAAATTAATACATGAAGTTCTTATCCAGCTACCTAACCACCCTTTAAAAGACAACCCAACAGGGATTGAAATAAATGGGCTTCATACGTTTGGGCCATGACTTTTTGACCATGTTAAAAGCCCACTCCCCAAAAACCCTATCTTCCTCTCACTCCACTATATAAATAGAACCACTAAGCTGCAATTTAACACAACAATTACTCTGCCTCTGAATCTGCAGATTGAAGGTGATATCTTCTATTCCAAATTTATTTTTGTGTGTATGTGTATATATTTTGAGTTATATGCTTCTTTAATCTGGTTGGCAAGAAATAATTTATTTTTGACCAACTCGTTCCCTTGAAGCAATAGTAAGTGTGTTGTTCCTTTTTCATCTTTCTCTTCATTTAATTTAATCTGTGGAGAACAATTGGAGCAGCTACAATTTTTTAAAATTTTTTTCATAATAGTTTTTTGATGATGAACAACAATGATGAGTAATTTTTTACAGTTACAGACCTGTAATGATTTGCGAAAATGATCGCAAAAAATTGAACATCTAAGGGACTGAGTTTGTTCATCAAAATTTTTTATATATATTTTATTCTAATCATTGTATATGAAAACAACAATGATGATTAATTTTTTACAGTTACAGACCTGTAATGATTTGCGAAGATGATCGCAATTAATTGAACATCTAAGGGACTGAGTTGTTTTCATATTTTATTTTATTTTTTTATCGTAGATTTGTGGGGATTTTATTGGGTATGTTGTTAATTGTACTATGCTTTGCTAATTATATTTTGTGGATTACACTTTTGTAGTGTGATACTTTAGCAAGTGAAGCTATAATAAATGTTCCCCTCGCTATCCTTTGCATCAAATTTTTGTGGTGTATTTGGACGTTGGGATACTACATTATTATTTATTACTATGTTCAAATGCAGTATTTTTAATATTAAATTTTATGGCCTAGTTGTTAAAATCTAAACTTCAAATTTTAAGGCCTAAATCTTATACTATAAAACTTAAAACTTTAAACACTTGACCATATTCTGTAAACTCTAAATTTTAAATTCTAAATCTAAAATCGTAGATCATAAATCATAAATTTTAGGATTTAAGTTTTTATGATTTAAGTTTTATGGTTTAAGGTTTAGAGTTTAAGGTTTAGAGTTTTGGGTTAAAGTTCTAAAGTTTTAGGGTTTATGACTTAAAAAGGTTTTAGGTTTTAAGTCCTAAAGATTATGCTCACTTCGTTTATTTCTAATTTAGAGTTTAGATGTATGTTACTTGTGTCAAAATTATTGTTGGTCAAAATTTTACTCCTATATTTCACACAACAATTTTGAGAAATTCATTATCAAAATCAATAGTAAATATTTTTTGAATAAAGTAAATTGCAAAACTTTCAAGCAGTACAACGATTATTGTTTATTTGTTTCTTTTAATTATTACTAATTATTGCCGATGATGAAGTAGTTTTGCGTTAATGATCAAAATCATGATTACGACTATACTACTGCCTTCCTTCTGAGGCTATTTTGATGATTTGTTGTATGAAAGGGATTAGGAAATAGATTGGATTTACAAAGATATTTTTTATAATTATGTTGGAAAGATTAAAAAAAAGATTTGTGAAACTATAGTATTATGTCTATGAATTTTATATATATGGATCTTATATAAAATCGTCAATTGAGAAAGGTGATGACGAGTCCAAAGTTTAGAAAAAAATCACGAAGTTAGGCAATCTGGTCATTTTTTATTTTATTTTTTGGGTTCAAATGGGCTTAAATATTGGCCTTAAATTGGCTTAAAGATAGGTTAGTTTTTGATAAATCATAAAACCATATGAGCTTTGGGCCTAAACCATAAATTCTTAGGCTTAATCTTTAAAATCTAAATTCTATAATTTAGAGCATAAACTTGATATATAAATCCTAAACTCTAAATTTTTATGGTCAAATTATAAACCCTCTCGACATAATAAATTTGGGGTCTGAATCCTAAACCATAAACCATAAACCCTTAACTTTAATTATTATGTCTTTAAGGTTTTGGTTTTATGATTTAGGTTTTTAGTGTTGAGACCTTAAGGTTCAATGTTTAGAGTTAAGGTCTTAAGATTTAGGATTTTGTGTTTTGAGTTTATATTTTAGGCTCTAAGGTTTAGTATTTAAATGCTTAATGATTAGGCTAAAAAGTTTAGGGTTTTCATTTAGGACCTAATGATTAGGGTTTATGATTTATGTCCTAAGGTTTAGAGTTAAGTTTTTAGGTCGTCCTCAAGGTTTGACTTGCTTAAATTAATATATTATTATTTAAATATTATACCACCAATTTGATTACATAATACTTTCAACTAAATGTGGGATAAAATAATCCTGCATTTTATGAAGATATAACATATTAGAGTTTGCAAACAAATCCAATACCTTTCAACCATGGAACATAGTTGAGCATGAACATATTTGGCAGCAGCAAGGCCACCTTTTATAGGCAGGCAATTCAACCAAATGGGAATGACCTACACCAGGATTCAGAATAACAATTGTGAAGAAATTATAACAAGACTTAACATTAGGGATTCTGAGAAGGACAAACCTGGGCTGAGTCGATAAGTTTTCGATGAAACTGAAATATGTTACCAAGGGTAGAAACAGCATTATCATATGCAAGTTCATTCTCAGGTTCACGAGCACGTAAATGCTCGAACACCTTCTTGTAGAAAACTGCTTTGATCTTCAAGAAATTCCTTCTATGGTTGGAGATATTCTTACTCTAAAGATGGTTGAAGTGAAACGATGTGGCGAGTCTCTTGAAAAATCAGTCAAGGACATTCAAGAAGTGCAAGAAGGAAATGTAAATGCAGAGCTCAAAGTCCTTATTTACCCCTTGCATATAAAAAGCTGCAACACTGGTACTTTAACAGGTAACTGACTCAAGATTAATTGCATCATCTTTTGAGCTTGTACACTTTTACCTGTTAAATCTTTCGTAAAATATATTTGAGAAGTGTTTCTTTGCTGTGCAGAAATAGAAGATTGCGATTGAAAGAGGGGATCTAATGGACCAGTTTTTCTCTTAAGCTGTTTCCTTTATTCATTATGCATAATAATCATATCCAGCTAGATGGATAATTTTCTTGTTTTTGAGTTTTGTGTGTACTTCAAAACACAACAATTTCTCTCTTCTGCAGCTGCCGATTGAAATCTTCAACAATGGTTATATCTTCTAAACTCTAAATAAATTTATTATTTTTGTGTATATATTTTGAGTTATATGCTTTTTTAATCTGGTTGGCAAGAAATAATTTATTTTTGACCAACTCGTTCCCTTGAAGCATTAATAAGTGTGTTGTTCCTTTTTCATCTTTCTCTTCATTTAATTTACTCTGTGGAGAACAATTGGAGCAGCTACAAATTTTTTTAAAAAAAATTTCATGATATTTTTTTGATGAATAAACAATGATGAGTAATTTTTTACAGTTACAGACCTGTAATGATTTGCGAAAATGATCGCAAAATATTGAACATCTAAGGGACTGAGTTTGTTCATCAAAATTTTTTATATATATTTTATTCTAATTATTGTATATGGAAACAACAATGATGATTAATTTTTTTTACAGTTACAGACCTGTAATGATTTGCAAAGATGATCGCAATTAATTGAACATCTAAGGGACTGAGTTGTTTTCATATTTTATTTTATTTTTTACGAGATAATGATAAGGTTTACGTAGATTTGCAGGATTTTATTGAGTATGTTGTTAATTGTACTATGCTTTGCTAATTATATTTTGTGGGTTACACTTTTATAGTATGATACTTTAGCAAGTGAAGCTATAATAATGTTCCCCTCGCTATCCTTTGCATCTAATATTTGTGGTGTATTTGGACGTTGGGGTACTACATAATTATTTATTACAATGTTCAAATTCTGTATTTTTAATCTTAAATTTTAGAGCCTAATTGTTAAAATCCAAACTTCAAATTTTAAGGCCTAAATCGTATATCATAAAACTTTAAACTCTTAACCATATTGTCTGAACTCTAAATCTTAAATTCTAAAATGTAAAACCATAAATCATAAATCCTAATTATTAAGATGTAGGATTTTAAGGTTTAACGTTTAGGCTTTAAGGTTTAGAGTTTTGGGTTTAAGTTCTAAGATTTTACGGTTTATGACTTAGGATTTAAGGTTCAAGATTTAGGGTTCATAATTTTGGACATAATGTTTAGAGTTTAGGCTCTGAAGGTTTAGGGTCTATGCCCTAAGGTATATGGTTTCAAATTTTGAGTTTAGATTTCAAGTCCTAAATTTTATGCTCAAATTTGACTCTTAATTTTGAGTTTTGAAATGTATTTTGAATTTTGAGTTCAGATGTATTTTACTCATTTCAAAATTATTGATAGTCAAAATTTTACTCATGTATTTCACACAAAATTTTGAGAAATACATTATCAAAATCGATAGTCAATAATTTTGAATTAGGAAAATTGCAAAACTTTCAAGCATTACAATAATAATTGTTTTTTTGTTTCTTTTAATTATTATTTTTTTGCCGATGATGAGTAGTTTTGCGTTAATGATCAAAATAATGATTATGACTATCCTACTGCCTTCCTTCTGAGGCTATTTTGATTATTTGTTTTATCAAAGGGCTTAGGAAATAGAATGGATTTACAAAGATATTTTTTATAATTATGTTTGAAAGATTTTTAAAAAAGGATTTGTGAAACAATTGTAATTGTAGAAAGGTGTTGAAGAGTCAAAAGTGTAGAAAAAAATCACGAAGTTGATCAATCCGTTCAAATTTATTTTGGGTTCAAATGGGTTTGGTTCAATTGTGCTTAAAGATTGACCTCAAATTGGCTTTTGATAAATCATAAAACCATGTGAACCTTGGGTCTAAACCCTATATTTTAATTTATACATGAATTATAAATCTTAATCTCTGAACACTTAACCATAAGGCCTAAACTCTAAAATTATAAATCTTAAATCCTAAATCTTATAGTCAAAACTATAAACTATAACCCCTAAAATATAAATCTTAAAGAGTCTAAATCCTAAATTCTAAACCATAAATCGTAAATCTTAGGTTTTAGGCCCCAAGCTTTTGAGTTTTGGGTTTATGGTTTAGACTTTAAGGTTGAGGCCTAAGGTTTAAGGTTTAAAGTTTAGGGTTTATGATTTTGAGTTTTGAGTTTATTTTTTGGGCTCTAAGGTGCAGTCGTTTGGTTTGAATTCAAGTTATGATGGAATAAGTTATATTGATGTTATTTTTTATTGAATTTTTGGTTTGTTATATTCAAAATAATAAATCTTAAGAACAACATATATGCTTACAAAAATACCGTTCATGAATATGAAAAATAATGTATAAAAAGTGTTTAAAAAGATATTTTTGTCATTTAGTCATTTTATCTTGTGATAAGTTGTCTCGGGATTATTGTACCATCCAAGGGAAGGGATAATTTATCCTTGTATTAATTATTAATCATGAGATAAGTTATCCCGAAATTGCCAATCAAACAACAAATTTAGTGACATTATAATTTAATCGCAGGACTATTTAAAGTTATCTTTCACACCAAACGACCTCTCAGGGTTTATGGTTTATGCCGTCAGGTTTAGATTTTAGGTCATTAAGGCTTGACTTGTTTAATTTTAATAAATAATTATTTAAATTATATGCCACAATATGAATTTCAACTTATGAAAAATTAAAATAAAGAAATTCCAAATGGATAGATAAATCGTAAAAAGATATAAAATAGATAGTCTAATGATAATTACATATTCAATTCCACACAAATCAACTATAGTATCATCTTGTATACTTAAATGATACAAAACTTTAAAGAAGCAATTTATGGTTTATAAGTTACATTTGTGGAACAATAATACTATTTTTCTAGTTTGACAATTTTGTTGTGAGAATGTATCACATGAAGTATTCCAGGAAATAAAATGGCTTTTAGTTCCATTTCTTGCTGAGGCAATATCAATGACCATGCTGATGTCAAAGTGTCTGGTGGTAGTTCTTGAAGAAGATTCCTCAACAGATTAATCATACACTTTGTTGTTTCTTCTGTAGCAAGATGTTTTCCACCACATATAACCTTAAAAAGTGAAACTAAATTAACTATACAAAATTGAATAAAAAATGTCTTTAATTTGATTCAAAAACACTCTTAAACTTGACACAAATTGTTCGTTTCGTTCTTGAATTATTGATTGTCTTAAAAACACACCTCTACTTGACCAGATTAAACTTAGATACATCTCTGATCTGCCATATTTCATAGAGGAGTGTTGAAAGCACCCCTAAATTAGGGATGTATTTCGGTCATGTTGCAAGATCAGAAGTGTAAGTTTAGTTAGTCAAAGAAATGAGTGTTTTTAAGATTGTCAATAGTTCGATTATGAAATTAATAATTTACACCTAATCTAGGAATGTTTTCAATACTTATCTCATTTAATATTTATCAGGAACAAATAAACAACTCAAACTGGCATCTATAGATTCTGATATGGAACTAACCTCTGCAAAAATTGACATAATTTTTGGGAAGTGTTCATAATTGGTACCCAAAAGTTCTCTATCTGACCTGAAATTGAGAAAATTTGATAAATCATTAATGGGTCATTTGGTTTGGAATAAGTTATCCTGACATCAACTATTTCGGAATGAAATAACTTATCACATCACTAAGGTATAAATGATGGGATAAATAGTCTTATGATTACATAATACTTTCAACTAAACGTGGGATAAAATCCTGCATTTTATGAAGATATAACATATTAGAGTTTGCAAACAAATCCAATACCTTTCAACCATGGAACATAGTTGACCATGAACATATTTGGCTTCAGCAAGGTTACCTTTTATAGGCAGGCAATTCAACCAAATGGGAATGACCTACACAAGGATTCAGAATCAGAATTATAACAAGATTTAACATTAGGGATTCTGAGAAGGACAAACCTGGGCTGAGTCGATAAGTTCTCGATGAAACTGAAATATTTTACCAAGGGTAAAAACAGCACTATCATATGCAAATTCATTCTCAGGTTCACGAGCACGTAAATGCATTATCACTACATTGATCCGTGACATAGCCTCTGAACATAAACGCGTAAGTTAACAAAAACACTTGCTTGATTAGAAGTATCACATTCAACAATATTAATACCTCTAACAAAAGGTTTGAAAACAGAACCATGATATTCTGCATAAAGCCCAAGTCCATATAGAGCATACTGAACATGAAGTCATTGGTGTTTTGGTTAAACTATACTGTGAGCAACCAACTTGAGTAACAGGAATGTAAGCAATCACGATGATCCAAACCTGTCTAACTGCTGGGTTTTCGTCGTTGCTTGCTTTCAGAAGCAAAGGTAGAAATACATCACAGTACCTAGTTGGCATAGGAAGTAAGTGATTTATCAAAATGGTGACACCCCAATAATTTAAGAAAATCTCATACAGATAAATTAAACTCACTTTAGAGCTGCTTCAGAGCAATGCTTCACAAGACCATCAAAGATATAAAGTGATATACATCTCTCTTGAATTGTCATTTCTTTGCCCTTAACAAAAATCGGAAACAATAAGATATGCTAGATATGAATAATGATAAACTAACGTCATGTTACAATAGTGTCAATGAACTTACCCACATCGGAATCAGATATAATGATAGCTCGTCAAAGTAAGGCAAGAAAACAACCTTGAATGATTCGATTAGTCTACGTAATATGCAACCAGCCTGTTCAAGAATAACAGCAGAACCAAAGCGAAAATGCTTGAATATATAAAGACAACAGTGTATCACTTTAGTTCCTGTTTTAAAATAGAACATACAAGGAGAAATATTTGATCTTGTTGATGTTTTTCCCCTCTCATCAATTCAGCTTCCTCGGCATCGAAGTCTTCTGTTTTTTCTCTCTCTGTGAGTTTTCCTTGGCTATTTAAATTTTCTGTAATGACATGCTTTATCTCATCGACGACCGGACGAAGCTGATCTTCATTGAGAAGTGGTCCACATATCTGAAAGAAGAAACACAAGGACCATATACAACCTGAAAAATCCTATTTTGCCATTCTAACTCGATTTTTGTCACCATTACTAGTTTCTCACTTTGATGATACTAATGGAGCATTTTAAGCAATAGACTTAAAGGCAACAGTTCCAAAAACTTCATACCTAGCTCATAGTGAAACACTGAAAACTTTGGATCAAAACAAATAAGCAGTGTTTAAAGATCACGAACCTGAAGGCACAGTTGTAATGTTTTCAACATGTGTACATATATCTCTGTTTCAGGCTCCTGCATTATATAGAAATCAAAGTGTTACTTTCTCATTATCCAAATAGAAGAAGCTTAATGTTAAAAGTAAACCTCATGCAAAGCTTCCACCAAATTCAGTATTATACTGTCCGAAAACTGCTTGAAATCCGAATGGCTTCCACCTTTTGCAATCCCTTTCTCATCAGCCAGTTTAGCAGATTGCAAAAGGTACTTCATCGCTATAAACATTACGAATTAAAAAGTCTTGGCGGTGATCAGATAGTTATAAAAGACGGAGAAATTAACTATGTGAAATCCTGAGAAATCTCACCTTGAACTGTAAAGATCCTGACCTCATTGAAATGGAATTTCAAAAGTGGAAATAAAATT